TCACCGGCTTGCCGCTCATCAGCTGTTCGGCAGCTCGCTCTTCTTCTGCGCGTGGCAGCATATCTGCGTATGCGCGGCATCTAAAGGCATCCAAAATCATCCTTTTGCTACTCCAGCGCCTAGAACAGTCACCAGAGGATCCGCGGCTCACTCTTCCTTCCAAAATGGTGAGCTGCTTAGATCCTGTGCTGGTTCTCCTCCGTCACCAGGCTGTCCCCCCTTATACCTGGCGTATAACACGACCCCCGACTTTTGAGAAGATTTTCATGGTTTAGAAAGTCGTCTTATACGCCGGAAAATATGGTACATCTGACCTGATATTTTATGGCTGAAATATTGCTTGCAATAAAGACATAAAGCCAGGAATTTTCCCCTAAGAATATAAAACTGACAAGAGAGGAAATGTGGGTAAAAAAATTCTTTCTGGAAAACTCTACTTTATTGGGCAGAAACTCTTCATCTAAACAGGGCTCTCACCAAAGAGGATAGTGTTGTTGCTCCCATCTGCTTTTAGAGACCTTTTGTATTAATTTAATACATGTATCCTACCCATTTTGGGGAGTATAGCTCCTAGAACACAGAACATAGAATAATAAAGTTGGAAGGGACCTCTGAGGTATTCTAGTCCAACACAGTTCTCGAGGAGGAGAAAAATAGTTGTCCAGTCTCTTTTGAAAGCCTTCAATGATTGGAGTACCCACAATTTCTGAAGACAAGCTATTGGTTGATTGTTCTCACCATTAGGAAATTTCTCCTTAGCTCTAAGTTGCTTCTGTCCTTGGTTAGTTTCCAATCATTATTTCTTGTTTTTCCTATTGGTGTTTTGGAAAATAGTTTGACCCCTTTGTAGGAGCCTCTCAAATATTGGAATACTGCTATCATGTCACCCTAGTCCTTCTTTATCAAGTTCTATCAAGCTCTATCAAGAAGAATACCTGTAAGTGCCTTTAACAAACCACAGCTCCTAGACATGTCAAGTAGAAATCAAGATGGCATCATGGGCATAAAATCAATGCAACTTTATAAGGTAGAATGCAGCTGAAGAATCTTTTCCAGTGATTTGCCATTCCTCAAATTCTCAGTCAACTTAGCCAGCACTTTGTACCACTTGAAATGGTCATCATAGCAGGTTGAATTAATGCAGGTTGGAGGAAGCCTACTTACACCTGCCTGCCTGCTTGTCTGTCTCTCTTCAAAAAGTTCTGGTGCTTCTCTTTTATCAGGGTTAAATCACATCATGACCGGCTGTAAGCTGAGGGCACATACTGGTCCCGTATCTGATTTTTTTTAATACAAATGATGCTGCGCTTCAATGGTTAGATGACTTAGACATTAGTAGATCTTTTTAACATTTATATTTTATTGTGTTTTACTATTCTAGATGAAATGTTAATACATATTGCCAGTCCATGTCTGTTATACCGTACGCTGAATAAAATGAATACATCAGGGTTAAATTTCAATTCCTTGGAAATAACTATTTATATCTAAAGTATAGCTCTGGTTTGAATCATCTTTTATTGTTGCTGTTGTTATTCAGCCAGTCAACTGAAATCCTGCTCTAAAGGGTTTGCAGAAACAGAACTGGTTTGGGTTTGCAGTGCTATATAAATAGTGAATCTAAAGCAGCTTCCCTGATCAAACGCCTAATAGAATGCTCTACATCTCTCGTAAATCCCACCCAACCTCACTGGTGCAGTTCCAATCCTTGATACCTTTTTGGAGGAAATTAGGAGAACTGAATATAGTGGGATAACTGAAAAAAAAAAACCCAACATTTTTATTTAGTTGCATTTGAATACTACATTACCATTTTTGGTGCATTCAAGTCAGCTATGACTCCTGGCAACTGCCTGGATTGGCAAGGTTTTTGAAGCAAGGTGCCCTGGCCTCCTCCCTTGGACTGAGAGATAATAACTGGCTCAAAGCTACCTAAAGGGGGACTGAACTCACAGTGTCCCAGTTTATAACCTACTTTCTTAACCACCACACCAAACTGGCTCTTAATTATCATGACTACTTCCATTTATTTAATATTTTTCTTCATCTAGACCAGGGGTAGGCAACCTTGGCTCTTTTAGGACTCATGGACTTCAGCTCCCAGAATTCCTGAGCCAGCACAGCTGGTTCAGGAATTCTGGGAGTTGAAGTCCATGAGTCCTAAAAGAGCCGAGGTTGCCTACCCCTGATCTAGACTAAAATCATGGGTTGTAGGCAATTTTGGTAGGGCTCTGGATTAAGCCCAAAGCTTTGCAAAGTTTGTGTGGTTATGTAGAATGTGTAATCTTCTGCATAACCATATGCAGGTATGGTTTCAAGTCCAACTCCTACCTAATCCATTTAAATATGATCTCTTTTACCTCAGTGTCCCTTAAAATTGGTTTTGAAACCTATTAATAAATATATTCTATTTCCATGAATATATCTTGCATCTTAATAATTATATAAATTAATGTATTAGTTTATGACTGCAATTTGTAATCTTATACTTTTATGTAACTTCTTTTGGTTTAACTTATGGCCTGATGTAATATGGCTGTGTCAATATGTTTTTGTTATTTATTTATTTGTTTATTGACCACCCATCTTACCACAGGGAAAGATGCTATTTTACACAGGGGCACATATTAATACATTAACATCCAGAAACATATTTTTAAAAAAATTATAAACACATTTCTACCTTGTTTGTTTGTTTGTTTGACAAAATGGATTCTCCAAACCTTATCTCAGCAATAAATGCTCAGGAAACATTTCCAGCACTACATAAGATGGTTGGGAGCACTCAGAAGAAAAATAGCAAATTTTCTTATTTTTATTATGGCTGGGGCAGTTTTTATAAAAATCCAGTGAAAGTCCTCATTCAATGAAAATCACATATCTGTGATACAAAGATTCCAAGATGCTGAACTCATCCACATTAAGGAAGGAAGGAAGCACATTAATCCCTTTTAATCATATATTCAGTGCAGAGATCAGGCTGACTTTAGCTGCAAGCTTCATCTGATTTATGTTTAGTTTTCCTAGATGAAGCACTCTAAAATGCAAATTAATTATATGCTTTTTGAACCGTTCTGCCTTTTGTGCTCCAGCACAAGAGTTCACAGTGATAGTTAAAAAGTCGTGAGAAATTTCATGGGTAAGGTAGGGCAGGCATTCTTGGAGAGCATCAGCTGAAGCAGATTTCATTTAACAGAATAAGAGAGTTGGAAAGGACCTTGGAGGTCTTCTATTCCAGCTCCCTGCTCAAGCAGGAGACTTTATACCAGACATGTCAAACACAAGGCCCGGGGGCCGGATGTGGCCCACAAAGTGGTTTTATGTGGCCCGCGAAGCCATCCTGGAAACCGTGAGGGAACGGCCCCCGCTGCCTTGGCCCTGGCCCAGACCGGCAGGGAGCCAATGTACAATTTTGTGATGGCCATCTATGCTGAAACGCATTCAGTCTTAGCTCCACAAGGCCGTCTGGAAACAGCAAGGAACCAGACCCTGCTGTGTTGGCCCCACCCCTGGGTGCATGCTGGGGAGGTGTCACCCTTTGTGAGGAATGAAGAAATAGACCATGCCTTGCCGCTTGCCCCGGTCCCACCCCCTTCTGCCAGAGACCCTCAGATCTGTCCCATTCCTGCCCAGGCCCCCACAGGCACCCTTGATGCGAACGATGTAGAGCTGACCACGCCCACCCAGTAGGCCACACCCACTCCATCCATGCCCACTTAGTAGGCCGCACCCACCCTGGCCACATCCACCTGGCCCCCCAAGGGCAACCACAATGCTGATGCGGCCCTCAGTGAAATTGAGTTTGACACCCCTGCCTTATACCATTCCAGACAGGTAGCTGTCCAGTCTCTTCTTAAAAGCCTCTAGTGATAAAGCACCCACAACTTCTGAAGGCAAGCCATTCCATTTTCCTGGTAACCATTCTTCTTCCCATCTCTTTTCTTCTTGAACATCCCTTCCTCCCCTTCCCACATTTTCTCCCTCAGCAAAACATCTCCTGCCTTCTTAGATGGAGAGGGGCAGATGGGAGAAATGCTGGACCTATCACACCTGACCCCCAGACCTGTTTTTGGAAAAGGGAGGAATCTCTTTGACATACTTATTTCTCTCCCTTTCCTGAAACCAGCTTGGAAGGGATCAGTTCCATTCAACACCATGCCTTCTTCTGAGATGTTTTTCGATTTTTAATCCAGCTAACAGCCCTGGGACGATCCGAATACCAATCAGGTCAAAGTTGGTTAAGATGCTATTCCTCACCATTAACATTTTTCTTCAATTCTGATCCTACTTTCTGGCTTAATAAGGCCAGAGATAAAGCAGGATCACCATAATATTGGCTTAGCCCTGCATATTCCCAAATTCATGACTCCTTTTTTTTCAGAAACCCTTCTTTGCTTTCCAGTTTGAAGTACAAAACATATAGCAGTTCCACCCAGTCTGAATTTCTCAAGATTGTTTGCCTACAGATGAGGTGACTTACCCACAGCTTCTTCTGCCACATATATTCAAAATATGGAGATTAATGTATACAGGAAGCTTCTTGAGAATCTTGCATAGAGACTACTAGAGAATATATCTTACACAGTTAACAGGACTGAAACTGTTTTGAACAGCAGTTGAGCAAAAGTTCCAAAGTTCAACTTTTTAAAAGTCCTTGCATCAATCAATTTCCAAATGGAAAGATTCCTAAAGATTCTACCTATCTGTGATCTGTTCCTACTTTTATAATTCTTATAATTTATTAGTTATAATTCTTGTTTTAAAATGCAACCTGCCCTTCTTTATACATATTAAATGCTAAAATGATGAGATACTGTGCTGCTCATTTTGTACAACTGTGCCACTGAGAATTAGTAGAAAAGGCAATGGAGGTTTTAAGAACCATAAAAAGGGTTTAAGGGCCACCAGTTGCTACTCAATCTTGCTTTAGTGCAATAAAGTGAAACACAGACAGGCAATAGATAGATATAAGACAAGCAAATGTACAAAGATCTACTTACTGTGGCACTATTGTGATCTGAACAAAGCAAATGAAGAGGAAGACTAGGGAAGCACAAGCCACATATGTACCAAATCGATCATCCACCTGTTTGGAATACTGTAAGGAAAGAAACCATTTCATTTTAAAAAAAACCCTGAAAACTCCCATTCGTTGGCAACAATTTATGATCTACTAGATATTGTTGAATCCCAGGCCCACCAGTTGTAGCGATCAATAGTCAAGGATGTTATAAACTGTAATCTAGCAATTTTACAAGAGCCACTAGTGGCCTTTTATTACAAGTCCTTCTTAGCAAATTTGGCTTGCTGTATTAATTTAAACTGTAAGATTCTCTGGACACTGATAAAAAGGTTTTCAGATTGATAGCAGGGATTTCTGAAACAATCATCTTTATAGATATCTGAACTACTGGGAAAGAAGGTAAAAAGTCATAAGCCAATTATATTTAATGAAAGACCACCTCTTTCAAAAACTTTCTGAACATTATCTTTACTGAAAAGAGACTGTTAAACTTTTTGCCAACATGAAAAAGTAACTTTTTTCTAGTTGCTGAGGCAATTTTTTTTAAAAAAAATATTTGAATGAAGGCCTAAAAAGATGTGAAAATAACAAACCCAAGTCTTGAAATATGTGTTTGCCTAAATCTTGTGGATGGTCATGAGGACCAGATTTTCAGGTGAGGTTCTATGGCAGACTAGCTGTGTCTCAAATCGCAGAGATGATACTACAGTTGTGAACAATGGCCAGTGGTGATTTTTGCCTTCCAAAAAGTCTTTGTGGATAAGAGACAAAGACCTCTTTTCATACTCCCACGCCATTTGAAGGGTCTCCATGGACATTTAGCTATGCACCCTTCAAACGGTGTGGGAGTATGAACAGATTTCCAGAAATAAAAAATTGCTGAGTACAGGATTCAGGTGTTCCTGAGGGTACAGATAAACCTCCAAGTGGCCTCAACGACTCTCAGAAAGAGGGCTAACAACCAGATGACTGCAAGGAATATAAATCCATCCATTCTCCACCATTCAGTCAGAACTGAAGAAGCTTCTTGGATGAGAAGCGGAACATCTTCAAGCAAAACAAGGAAGTCCAATTGCCTTTTGAAAGAAAGCACTTTTGGGACATTATGTTAGAATATTAGAATACTGAGAGAATGGCATAGATATAAACATTCTGTGATCAAAAATGCCTTTATGGATTTCAGCACAAAAGCATTTTACAGGAAAGAGCATAGAAATGGTTAACCTATTGAGAGATGTTATAACAAGAACATAAAGAATATAAGATTAACTCAAGAGAACTGGTTGTGGAGGGATTTAGTTTTTAATGGGTTTTGTATGCACAGTTAAGAGAAAGATTTAAGGTAGATAATAGAATTTTTGGAACTGAGCAACAATGGACAGAACCTTCAGATGGATTATATGTACAAGTGATGAATGTGTAATTACTAAAATGTATAAACTCTTGCCAAAGTTTGAAATGGAGGACAAGCAAGTTAAAGAAACGATTAACATTGACACTGTTACTATCTTAAAGAGAATTTTTTTATAAAATGATGTACCATTGATACATAACCCCAGAAAAATTATCTAGAATGTATAAAGATACCTAAAATTTATGTTGGAAATGTGGACAACATTCTGTCTAGTAAACTTGTAAAAAAGCCAGAAAAATTTGCTTTCAGTTACATATACAGATACAAAGAATTCTAAAGACTAAGATTCAGCTGATATTGGAACTTTTATTGTTGGGATTACTGGATAAGCAACTAGAAAAAAACATGGGAAATTATTTATATATATGATCACTGCTGCCAGACAATTACATATCCAAAAATACAAAAGGTCTAAAATACCACAATGGAAGAATGGTTGATGGAAATAACAGAACTAGCCCAGATGGCAAAATTAACTTGTTTGCTTAGAGAAAGATCAATTATTGCATTTATTATTGACTAGAAACTCCATATGGATTTTTTGCTGAAAAAAATATGAATGGATGATTTATGCATTTTATTATTAGAATGAGTAGATTATAGAAAGGAAAATTCTGTAACCTCAGACAGAGAAAGCAAAATATAAATGTATTTATGACTGTGGTTAAGAAGACTGGACCTATTACTTTATTATTATTTTTCTTTTTCTTCTTTTCTATTTCTTTTCTTAATGTATTTTTCACTTTCTATTGTCATTCTCTATTTCTCTTATCTTTAACTTAATGTTTGTATTGTTTTTACTTTGTGGGAAAACTTCTTTAATAATACATACCATACGTATATATATATGCATGTAGTTTATGATGGTCAAGTAGACAATTGTTATTTATAGTATAAATGTCTAAAGTGTTGAATTGTCCCACTTTTCATCACTCTAAATTTTCCATCCATTTGTCTACTGAAAATGACTACTTTGAGGGAAAAAAATCAATAGCATTAGTGAGATAAAACTCAAATGGAAGGAGGGTCTAAACATTCCATTAGGTACCTCTTTTGGACATTCATATGAATTTACACAGAACTATGATTAAGCACACCAGTTTTCTGCCCTGACATCTAGTTTGGCTCTTGCTAAGGGATTTCATAGACCCATACAATCCTTACATACCTTTTTCTCCAAGTCAAGCTCCCTGAACGTTAACAGAAACTTGCGAACGTGCTCTGAACGTAACCGGTCGATACTTCTTGCATCAATTGCACGACCCAGAAACTCATCCACCTCGTCTTCTGGATTCATGCTTTCCTGGATATTTCTGAAACAACAGAATAAAGTAGAGGCCAATTAAGTGGTGTTTACACAAAAGAAAATGTCTTAAAGTTATTACTTAAAGTCGAAAGGACTAGAACTTTCCAGATGTAAGATCCCACTCTCAAGAGCACCTCTCCTATGTCCCATTCTACAATTCTTTGGCTCCTTTTTCCACAGCAGACACAAGGCACCTAGCTCACCCAGGGGTTGACAAAAATGTGGTGGAAATTCATACAACAAGCAATAATACTTATAACCAATTTGTCTAATTTAGCTTCTCACTCCTTTATTCAAACTTTTCTTCCCTTGAGTTCTCTTTTATTCCAAAACTGGCAATGGAGGTATCTCTTCCCTTAGGCCTGTCTCAGGAGAAAGTGGGAGAAAGGTATAGAATACTTGACTTATGATGGCAATTGGAACCGGAATTTCTGTCACAAAGGATGGCCACATCACTTAGTGATGACACTCCAGAAGTCCTGGTTGCCACTGTTAACCAAGTCCCACAGTTCTTAGGTGAGGCAACTTCCTGCTGGCTTCCCACAAACAGATCAGTGGGGAAGCTGGCAGGAAGATGCGAGTTCCAGGCAGCTTGCAAACAGGCTGGCAGGCAGGAGAAGAGTGCTAAGGGATGCATAGGCATGCACGAGGGAGACCTGGCAAGGCTCAAGGAGAGTGGCAAGAGTGCGAGGGAGGCTCTGCAAACGTCAGAGAAGGTGCATGGCAACATGAGGGAAATATAATGAGGATAGGGGAGTGTGCATGAAGGGAGGGGGGCTACGCAAGGGAGGTATATTGAGGCTTGGGGAGGGTGCGTGAGGGAGCAAGTGAGGTGAGGCAAGGCACAGAGAGTGTTGAGCAGGGCTGCACAAGCGGTAAGGGAGGGTCGGGGAGGTTTGGGAAGATGCACAGGGGTATGTGAGTGGCCAGCACAGCCCAAAGTGGAGGGGGCTGAGGGAGGGAGCACGGGTGAGGGTGACTTATCAGAGCCACTTGTAACTTCCCTGCCGGCTTCCCAATTGACTTTCTGCAGAAGTTGGCAGTGAATATTGCAAATGGCAATCGCGTGATAGTGGGGTGCTGCAACCAGTCATAAGTGCCAGCTGGTTTTCAAATGCCCAGATTGCAATTAAGGGACCTTGGGATGCTGGGATGGCTAGATTTCCAAGCATTGGTCATAACCAGCATTCATTCAGTACCATCGTAACTTTGAACAGTTGCTGAATGGATGGCTATAAGTCCTGGACTACCTGTGCAATGAATCTTCACCCCCTTCAGTACAGCTCCTTCAGGATACTATAAACTGTAAAGTACATCAAGGCACTTCAGCATTCATGCACACTTAAAATCATCTAATAAGGATTTCTGCAACTATTTTTATTCTGAAGACATCTTTTGTCAGAAAGGACAAAGAGTTTTGTAGTCTACATTCTTCACTAGTTTGGATATAATGGAAGGTATTAAAAGGCATACCCATTGCATACCATACAGAATTTAAAATATTCCGTCTTAATCTTCTGCGGAACCTCTAAGAGCTATTTTATTCCTAAGAAGATGGTAATTTAGTGCAAACCACAAGATCTTTTAATAAATGGTAGTCTGGCTAAGTTCTTCAATTATTCACTGTAGATTTTCAGAGCCAATGTAGCACTCATTACATTTGCTTTGGCATCGTCACAATTTTTTTAAAAAATACTACCAAATATCTTTAATTAGGCAGTCACTCGTCTGATTATTTTGGAGTTCTCTGTCTCTCTGCCATTCTTCTCTCATAGTAGATAACTAGTCTCTGAAAGATGCCAGCTGTCATTGCAAATTTAGTTGGCCCACATAATATAGGCAACAGCAACCCAAATATGCTCTTTGTTTATTAAAATCAGTCTTATTTTCCTAAATATGGATGATGTAGGTTTACAGAGAAGTAATCCCAGGTAGAGGATACTCCTGGATAATATGGAAAAAAATAAAGTATGCCTTATTTTTTATTAAGCAAGAAATTTTAATTAAGATAAAGATTTTGGTCTAAAACCTCCGAATTGGATTCAATGTTATTTCCTCTGGTAGAAGCAGTGTCTGATTTTTGGAAGGCAAGGGATTGCAGTAGGAAGGGGAAATCTAAAAATATCACTTTTTTCTCCTTTCTGCCAACAGAATTGATCTATTCAGTCAGACACCTTCTCCAGTCCAAAGGAACATTCCATCTGTGAATGCAAGACCCTAGTTTTAAGCCAACTTCTTTTTTCAAAACAGAAAAGACTGTTACATTAAAGGGGGTCTAAATTGGCATCAGTCCCAATCCCTCAAATTTTTAGAGGAATTGTTCTTGTTAATGGTAAATTAGCAACCAGAAGGGTATGCTTCTGAAAATATTTTCTAATTAAACTTCCTGAAGTGTAAGTTACCATACTATTTACACACCTTCCAGCACGAAACAAAAACAAATGGAAAATTATGAAGAGTAGGGATAAATGGGTTTTTTATTATTAAAAAAGTGTTCAAAATATATTAAAAGGAAGTCATTATATTGACAGTATTGATCCTGAATAAACACTTTCAACTTCCCCCTTTAATACCATAATTTTGAACACTTTAATGTGATTGTCAAGAGCCAGTCTGGTGTATAAGTTAAAGCACCAGAAACCAGAGTTCCACTGTAAGTACAAAACCAGCTGGGTGAGCTTGGGCCAGTCCCTCTTGCTCAGCCCTAGGAAGAAGGCAAGGGCAAAAAAATGTTGCCAAGAAAAATGTACAGATGTTGCCTGTGTAATCAACGGAAATCAAACTGACTCAAAGCATAAAATACAACATTACTGTTTTCTTTCATAAACTAAATTGATTATCTTATGTAATACATTTATATAGTTCCCTTATGCGAATTGTGACTCCTTTTTACCTCTATGGGTACGAGAGTGCATATATTCTCTTATGATATTTCATAATTGATCAACCAGCAGTTTTCAAATCTATCCAACAATAAAATAATATGATGAGTCATTTTGTATTCTAGGTTTTTCCAGCATGTTTTTCCAATAATAATTTTGTCAGAGTGCCAAGGATATTTTTGCTTTCAAATTTCTTTAGGCTCTCTCCTTCCAAAAACTAAACTGCCCCCCCCCCCAAAAAAAGGGAAAAAGGAAAAAAAAGGATGCTCAGGTCTTCTGGTGTAAATATGTCCCTTGACATTCATGGAAATTGGTATCTTGAAGACAAAACAATAAGAAGGGAGGATCTGTTTATGTAATGTTTTTTATCACCCATATTCTCGTATTCATATAACTCTAAGATCTGGTGAACTATCTTTTCTTCTCTTCTACTTTGATTAGCCAATTTACTACAAGCTCAACATACTATCTCCAATAAATAACATCTTAGAGGTGACTCTAAAAATTATTGTAGAAATTGAAAACTCCAAGCTTTAAACTTCCAAGATGTAGAAGGCATTTTCCACAGCCTTTTATAGACTATAATCAGCAATCAACAAGGAGGATATCCAAACATATATGGATATATAGAGATGAGTTAAAGGGTTCCTATATCTTTCCTACTCAGTCATCCATTTTTGTGCAATCTGAAGTGGAACTAAGACTCTAGATGTGCCACAAAGGAGGGTTGTAATGAAAACAACTACTTAGTTATATCTTGAGATATAGCCTCTACTGTAAGTAAACAATCCATGCTGTTTTTTTGAAAACCAAACCACCTTTTTAAAATCAAGATTTATTGAACAAATAATATATTGGTCTAGTTTAACATTTTAAAATGTTGGACTAGCTTAGCAGTATTTGCAAGCTGGTACTTTGTCCAAGGCTAATTCTTTACCATTACTACACTTCAGTCTTCCTCATTTTATAAAAAAAATATTTCAATATTTCATCCCTTCTTTTGATTGGTTGTGTATTTTAGATAAATTAAGAATCTGCATGATTAATTATGAAAGCTTACATTAAATAATGAAAGCTAAAATCCGTGGCAGGGTGATATGTATTCTAACATTTAACAATTATTTATGGAGAAAAATTACACCAAAGAAAAGCACAAAAATAAGATAGCATTCTATTTTGTACAGTGACAAACTTCTCACATTTCAATAAAAAAGAATAATTAATGTTCCCTTTCCTTACTTGTCTTTTGGATCTTCAAAACCCTGAAAAGAAGAGAGAAGAATGCTAATTAGCCAAACAAAATGACAGTGAATACATTACAGTTGATGCAAAACCACTTAGGGGACATCCATTTGTAACATCATGCTGATAAGTGTCTTGCCAAGAGTATGGAGCTTTATCTATTCCAGGTCAGGGCCCAGAATACTTTACAAACTTCAGATTAATGGAACGGTATTGCTATCTCATCAGTCTATGCAATATCTACAGTTATTCTAAGAGGATTTTCTTTTCTCCAAAACACTATACTTCCTTTTTTTTTTGCTCTGTATAGTTAACATTTATGTGCCTAATATTAAATACAGTATGGATGATCCTTTTTTAAAAAAATAAATCTGAAGTAATCACTAACACGTCAGTCAACACACGCTGTTTACATCCGGTTTATGTACTTAAGACAGGAAAGTGTAATTGTGGTGCACACAGCTAGGTGACAGCATCTCTCTAACATCAGCTTATCTTAAAAAGTTAAAACTTTGTAAGTAGCTTGACAATAAACTACTAAGAATTCCTAGAACTGTAGACTGGACTGCAAGAGGAAAAAAAAAATCTCAGAAGAAGATAACGGTAAGTAATTTCTATAATTTTGCAAAGAAAAACCATATGCACATCATCGGGAACTAAACTGGAATGCTCAGAGACATTATTAACCATGTTACAATCATGTATATACAGAAAATATATTAATACCTATAATACAATGGAATGATTGAGATCATGTATTCTTAACTTTGAGCTAAGAGGACCCAGTCTCATATATTTAAAACTGCAGCGCACAATTTTCCTTCAGGAAAGTGTTTCCCATGCTTTTAATGCACAAGAAATCAGTGCAGTTCCTAGAGATATGAAAGGGTAAACCAACAATTTTCTCAGAGTGCAGGGCCTTCCAAAAAAAGTACTATCTTTTTTTTTTTTTTTTTAATAAAAGATATTCTGAACTGGACTTACTGCTATTCCATTCCACTGTTTTCAAAACATTTATCTTACTTCAGATAGCTCTCTTTTTTTTATTGAGACATACAGGTAATCCTCAACTTACAACAGTTTGTTTAGTTCAAACTTACAACAGGACTGAAAAAAGTGACCTATGACTGTTCCTCACACTTATGACCGTTGCGGCATCCCCATGGTCACATGATCAAAATTCAGGCGCTTGGCAACTGATTCATATTTATGACAGTTGCAGTGTCCCAGGGTCATGTGATCCCCTTTTGCGACCTTCTGACAGGCAAAGTCAATGAGGAAGCCAAATTCACTTAACAACTATGTTACCAACTGATTTGCAGTGATTCGCTTAACAACTGTAGCAAGAAAGGTCATAAAATGGAGCAAGATTCACTTAACAACTGTTTCCTCAGCAACAGAAATTTTGGTTCAATTCTGGTCGTAAGTCGAGGACTACCTGTACATGTTTTGCTGATTGGTTTCTGATCTTAAAAAGTTTGAAGTTTTTAATTACGCTTTCCCACAATGGGCTGCCAATGTTACAGTCATCTTCAAATTCTCTATAAGCTGAAACCTATGTGATGTATAATCTATGTTCAAAGAATTTATTTTTAAATATTTTATTCTTCCTGAGAAACAGCAGGTCCCCAAGATTCTTAAACCTCTGTCATGTGTGTGTGTTTCTCTGTGTATTGTGTTTGTGTATACATATCTATCTTTGGTATGATTTTTAGTGTTGAGTTTTAACATTTCAATCTTAGCATCATTTGTATTTTATTGTCCTATTATCATTAAGCACACTGAATACTATTTTTGATTGAAATAACTAATTGTACCTAAAAAATACCCAACGACATAGTGAAGTGGGAAGGTGGAGGTAAAGTAAGAGTTTGACAATACCAAAATAAAACTGAAAATTCCATAGATAAAATTCCAACCAGTGTTCTTATTGGAATATAGTTGACTCAGCAGTCTTTCTTTCTCTGGCTGGCAGAAGATACCAGAATGTGCTTCCCATTATTTTGCAGTGTGGGAACTAATGCACAGAATCCTTTCTAGATTTTGTTGTATGCAAAGATGCATTTATTTTGTTTCCAAGAATTAAATTAGTGATTAACATACATTATATAAATACATAGGCTATAAACCTGCTAATTTATATTGTACAATTGAATTGAGCTACGATATTCAGACACCCAAATTAGCTTATTATTTAGCTTCTTGCAGTAGTTGAATTCTTCCCATTGCTAACTGGGCAATAGCTATATTATTTAAAACGAGTAAATTGTTAATGTCAGAAGGAGATAAGAATAATTATTTTTAGCTCATTAGTTTACATCTACTTTAAATGTTTTCCTTTCCTTAAAACAGGACAGAGAATTTATGACCTCTAGATGCTGAACTCCCGTAGTCACTTAAATACTGTCAATGATGGCTAAGATTGCTAGGAATGGTACAGTAGTAATAACTGGAAGGCAAATGTTTCCTTGTGCCTCTTTTGTAGATTTTCATGGAAACAAAGAAAATGAGGAAAGGTGCTTTTTTATTTTTTTAAAGATAACTTTAACAAGATACTCTTGAAAAGTCAGGTTGTGGAGCAGAACTGTTTGGGAAAGGAAAACTGAATTTAGAACACTGTTAGATCCTTTTGTTTAAAAAGAATTGTGATGTTTCTCCTATTCTAAAAACAAATTCTTATTGTATATTGTGCAAAACAGTTTGTTGGGTGCAGCAAACTGGCTGCATTTCAGTTTAGATTCTAAGTTTGAGGTTGAACATCCAAAATTACTAGTCTCTAAATTACACTGGAAACAGCAATTGCTCATCCTTGAAAGATAATCCTATTAAGTGCCTGGGTGTCCGCCATTATCCAGAACCTAAATGGATACTAGCCAATACACTACCTATAAAGCCCTGATTGTCAAAACTGCCAGAGGATTCTGCTCTAGTTCCCGAATTACTATCAGTATTGAAATGGGGTTTGGGTTATTTTCAGTATATAATCTTTTTTAAATATATAGTTAAACTTTAAATTTAACACTTTTTGCTAAGGCAGATATTAGTGATTTGCAAGTATGTCGGAATAAACTCTTTGTATACTCTGTATTGATAAATCCCTGCCTAAATAAGAGGAATATCTATTCCTCTCTAAATAGAATCAGTGTTACAAATAATTAAAGCATTTGCATCATGTGTAGAAAGAAATGCAATTACAAAGTGTTTACAATGTTCAGCTTGAACATATAGCATTTCATACCTGCAAAAGGTTAATTACATAATTTGTATTTCCCTACTGAATATCTGCTTTTAAAATTAGATCTATTGCAAGATACTGCGAACATGTATCCTGTAAAATCATTTTCTAACCAAATTTCAAAGATGCATTATTAAAAGGAAAATCAATTTATTGGGTAAAGCTTTTCTTAATGCATAGTTAATATGCCAAACAAAATTGACTTTATGTGAAATAATTGAATTTCATAACCAATAAAGGCTCTTGTGAAGCATTTTAAACTGAACAGATATTTCTTTTTTAAAGACTGCATTTATGGAGATAAAGCATCTTAATTTGGACAATTTTGCTATACAATGAATAACCTATGGATTAACTTTCCTATTTATATCTATAAAGACAACAGCGAATGATAACGTATTATTGTTTTGTGAACTATGGCTTCAGAGAAATACAGTTGCCAATTGTTCTAACAATGAATCCTGATATCCATAAGCATATTACATGCTTTCAAACTCAAATAAAAAAATATCAGCCATAAAGGTGTGGCTTATGGCTAAAGTATGTCTAGCAAATCCCCGCAACAGCTAAAAGGATTAAACACCATTTTGGATGGTCTTCTCTGTGAGGAGCTGATTTGTAAGTTCTTCTGTTATTTCTTCTAATGCTTTCTTTCTAAATATGGCTATTAAATCATGAACCACATGCTTGATGCAATTTACATCTCACAGATTACGTCATGCAATGAATCTAAGTAAGTGCCCTTCACTCTTAGTCACCCATTTATAACAGGTGTGATAAGTGAGATAATGTGGCTGTGGCAATTTCTAAGCTTCAATCCTTAATCCATTTTCACAAAGCAACTCATTTCAGTACAAGGATGTATATGAGGGGCAGGGGAATCATCAGAAGCACTTTCTGGCAATTTGCCACAATGATAATGATCAGAACTTTTATCAAAATAAATATTTTTAAAAAACCATGAATAGAGTAATAAAATAGAAATTACTTTCATGAGTAAGAACAATTCGGGGAAACAGAATATCAAGGAAATTACACTTAACATACACTTGCCAACAATGGCAGTAATATTCCATAGATCTGAATGTCCTTACCATTCTTTTCATCTCTTTAGAAACTTGACTGGTGCTTAAGTGATTATAAAAAGAGCGATCTACTCCCCAGTGTGGTGGGTTGTGACCAATGGAATTAGTACGTTGGCGATTCATTTTGGCTATTGTTGCTTTCTCATCTTTCTAGAAAAAGGAATAGAGATAAAGAATTAAATTTTCAATCATTATATGAAGAGCTGAAATTCAACGCATGTACAGAGATTAATCTGGGAAAAACTGTTTAGTTTTACTTCCTTTAATACCTGCCACCACTAATTATTTTTGTGTTAATTTTGTCTATCTAGACATTTCTTCATTTATGATTGTCTTGGAAGATAGCATTTTTGTTTTGTTTTCACCATAATTATACTGTAATTAATTATTTATAATTATTCTTATCATTATTATTTTAACAACTCTTTTCTTGGGATGTCCAAAACATTTTCAGTTTGTTTCAAAGTCAAGATCATGTCATGAAAAGGTTGGCACAGCCAGCTCAAAATAGGGCACTTCAAACTCAAAATGTTTCCAATGTAAAATGTCTTATGAATTCCTAACCTTTTCTACCACACCAGAAAAAAAAACATTATATTCATCTGTATGTGTGCCTGAGAGGAAGACTAGAAAGACTGTAAATACAGAAAGGGGACAGCAGACAAAGAATTAAGGCAAACTTTTTATTTGTTCTCTGTGCAAAAGTGCAGTTTTTATAGCTACTTCAAGTTTAAAACAAAATTTAAAATATATACACAGCTAGTTTAATTCTCAGTTCGCATAAGCACTATACTATACAATATACACAATACTTGAATTAATTGTGATTTACAGCATATTCTTTACATTTTTGCTTTTATTTCATAAAAACAGTTACATTTGACATTAGCATCTTTGGGGCTGTGTTCTCTCTCCAATTCCTGTAGTACTAAAATGTATATTACCCATGCTTCTCTACTTCATGGTGCATTATCTTGGCCATAGCTGGTGACAGCAGGATACATAGGAAAGGGCATCTAAATCAGCATGGAACTACTTCTAGTTTTTGAGATACACAGCTTGGAAACTTTTTCTTACAGTACAGCTTCTTAAGTCAAAGATATTCAGGCAAATTGAAAACTCAATATAATGCAGACTAATCTATACTGGTATCTCTGTGGAGTCCTAACCAATTGATGTTAGGGTTAGGGTTAGGATTAGGTGTGTGGAGATACACTAAATAATTATTATTTATAAAATAGTCAAAGAAACTTTATAATGGACTATAAAATTTGGTACCTCAAATGTTTCAGGTGATAATCCTACGCATATTGGTTTAGGATATTTGGGGATAAATTGTGGGAAGCCCCCCCCCTCCCCAGAATAAAAATATTCTAGAAGATATTAAAAAAGCAGGATAGAATATTTCCCCTAAAGAAGAAGAGAAAAATCTTAACAAAGGCAGAAAGCAGCCCCAGTTTTCCTGCTATAGGAAAACAGCCTCAAGCAGAAGCTTGAAGAGGCTAGTCTTTAGGAATGGATATTTTGCATCCATTCAGAAAGCTGAACCATATTATTCATAAACAAAGAACAGCCAGAAACCCTAAATAAGCAACACAATAGGCAAGGAATCCAACTGACAAGATTAAGTCAGACAAACAAAACACCTAGGATTTGCATTTCCTCTCTTGCCTAAAGAGCCAGCCATGACCCCTACATAACTCCATAGGAATATGGCAACAGCCATTAAAATATTAAAGGATATATTCTTATACAGGAACAGGCATTCACACAAAGCCCCAAAGAATGTATATAAAGCCATCCACTCTCAACCCCATTTTGTCAGTCATTCCAGGAATATGCTGTATCACTGACGTTTCTGGCTACCAAGTAAATAGAGACCTTCTTTCTTGCAGCCTGCCTCCATTTTATTTCAGCGTCTTTCTCCCGGCTTAGAACTAGACCTGATTTTTCTTCCAACAAAACAATCCCTTTAGAGTAAACTTACAAAAGACGCAGTGCTTTTTTTGAAAAAAAAAAAAAAGGTGCCGGAACTCACACATGTCATACAACCCTCCTTGCCTACCCTACAAGGTTCCATCCAAAAAAGGTGCCAGAACTCTGTTCTGGGCGTTCTATGAGGAAAAAAAGCCCTGCATAAGAGTATAGTATCAATTAACTAATCTGGGTATTGATCTAATTTTCAAGCTCCTGTTTGCTCAAATGGAAATATGCTTATGGAGAGAAAAGCATTGATCTGTGGAAGAAAAGCCACACAGAGCTTTAATATCTGTACTTCCTGCACCCATTACACCTTATGAACCCACCCTTGTAGATCAGTCAAGCCAGCCCTTTAGAAAGGAGGTCAGCTGAACAGGAGTCATTGGCATTGAAAGAGAAGATCAAGAAGACACAGAAAGAAAAAAAGCAGAGTAGCTTTAGATATAGTTAAGAAGTAAGACAAGGGAGAACACAGTAGAGATTATAGGATTTAAGAGATAGAATACAGAATAAGGTTTGGAATTAGTAGTAAAAGCACAAGTAGTAAAAGACTCTTAACAACATAATAGGTAAGATATAGTACTACAAGTTTACAGAATCTTGTATCTTTATGTAGTCTATTACTACAGAGAAGATCAGAAAAGATTACATTTTTATTAAATTATCAGTGATCCAAACCTTTGCTGATTTAGGAGAAATAAAATCCTTCCAAATCTATGGATGGATTTCTTATGTTTTATGCTAGCATATAATTCAGGGTAACATAAACTAATTGTTTTCAATAATACAAAGGTATACAATACTGAAGTCTTTCGAAGGGACAGGTCTTTATATGTCTATGTGTTACTTACACAGATGATGATGAATTTTTTTTCTGAAAATACTGTAGAAAAAACCACCAGAACAATTTCACCTACAGTGAATGTTTATTGAAATAATCTAAACATGACCACAATAAAACAGGAAAATTCCAAAAAGCAATTCATGTAAAATTCTAACCGTGCCTTTTTACTTCTATATAACTATATTAGAAACACTGTCTAATCTATAACAGCTCCAACTACAGACTTCTTGTGCCAGAAAATAAGAAAAACATTGGACAACCACCAACACAGAGGTTTGGGGATTCTAAAAATACAATAATATGAAATCATTTTTAGATTATGTATTTGGTTAACTTTTTTTATTTTGAAATAGCCACAGTGATTTATTTTACATTCCTAACCCATCTATTTCTGCCCTCCAGCTAAAACTGATTCTAAATCTACACATTTAAAAAATATATCTCATTAGATGCCAAAAAAGGAAGCAAAAACAAAACATTATTCTATGACCGAATATTATTTAGCCAGGCATTCTGCAAACAGTATTTATCTAAAATATCTGAAGTTTAAACACTACTGATGTCTTGCCTTTATGAAATGACTAATGGAAAAGAATAGGGTCGTGTTAGGAAAGGAAAAATCCCTTACTGCAAATGAATGTTTATTGATTGTTCTTATATGGAGTGAAACTAAGAAAAGACAAGGGGGGGGGGGAAGGCTCATTATGTTGCTATGGCAAAAACGAGAATAACTACTCAAGCTAATAAGAAAAACCTCTGCATATTCTGGGTCATGAACAGATCTTGCTATATTGCTGCTTCCGTTCAGTCAATGCACTATGGGAAAATGTGTGCAGTTTGTGCAGGTCAAGCAGCTTGCACTAAATAAAGCTCACTCTGCAAATTTGCCAGTGTTGCTGGGAATTGTAAAATTTCTCTGCGACAGGCTTTCCAAATTCAGATTGCTGACAAATGTGTTCATAATTCTCTTGAAAAATGTAGTCCTTGTAGCAACTCATTTTGTCTGGTGAAAGACTTAGAAACTGGAAGCTTACTTACTCCAGTCCTAAAAGTGATGTCAACTATCTTTCAAAGAGTACGTTTCAGATTGAGAAGTCAGTTACATCTTTTAGGAAATGGTAGTTTCATTCTGGACTCAGGGCAGTGGTTACAAAGAAACATAATTAAATACATCAGGTTTATCATGAAGAAGTATGTGTTTAAGAACCTCAAGTCTTTTTCAACATAATAATGCAATATTTATAAAAGTGACGATGTCACAGGTAGATTTTTTCCCCTTATAAATAGGAAAAGATACATTCAAAAATTCTAAATAATTTGCATGGCGACTTATATGTGCCCAAACTATTCATGGGAGGAAACCTAGAATGCCATCTAAGAAATATTGCATTATTCAGAAGCAAGCATGGTTGAAAGAAAAGCACTTTTCCAGGGGCCAGAAATTAAGCAATGCCCTCACAGATTATAAATCTACACCATAAGAAAAACAACTGAAGTCATGCTTGAAGTTATTTATGGAACTTCCTTTTCTTTCTCCATGTATTTTTTGCTCTACCTTGGAAGATTATAAAGTCATATTATGGTAGAACAACTAACCTTCAGAGTAGCAAGTAGCTATTTTCTTTTCCAAAAGAGATTATATATGCACATGAAACTAAATAAGGTCATCACTTTAGAAGAAGAAATATCTATATATTATGAAGCAATGTGCTTGCTGAACAACTAAAAGACCCAGAATTACAGACCAGAAGATTAGCAAGTAAAAACTCTAATGTAGGGGATAATGGAAGCTAGAATTGCTGGTACAATTTACATTGGCACTCAGTTCATGTAAATATGCAAAAGAATTTTCCTCTATTGTCTCGCAGCAGAAGAAAAAAAATGAAATGTAGGAACATTTTATTTATAACTTTTTATTTATAAAACTAAACAAAAATAGCCTCCCAAAATTTCTGAATAACCAAATAAGGATGGGGTGCTTTGTAAATACTTTGAGAATGTGAATTTCCCCAACAATGGCTGGCAATAAAGGAATATATTTTTAAAAGTCTAATAAATATTGACTCACGTATTACTGAATTAAACTGTGTTATTCATTTTTATCGGTTGCTAATTTTGTACTAAATTTATAAACCTACAAATTTCAATATTAGACTTTCTGAAATCAGAATGATTTGGTTTTAGGAGAGATGACTAAAACTGGAATGAAAGCCTAACATTTCACTATAGAAGGCGTTACATGTTCAGAATAATTTAAAGTATGACAGAGCTTTCTGACTGTAGAAGGAAATCTCTTTAAAATAATTGAAATACTAGTTCCCCAATCTTCTCTGGAAAAGTGAAGATTGAGGAGTTGAAATAGAAATTGCCTGTGTTAAATGGGATTTGTCAATGTTCTTTTCATTGGCAGGGGTAGATAACCTTGGCTCTTTTATGACTCGTGGACTTCAACTCCCAGAATTCCTGAGTCAGTCAGTCATAAAAGTGCCAAGGTTGCTTACCCCTATAGGGGCACAAATTTCAGAAAGAATGCCCCATATAAAAATACTACTATGAAGATATACAAACTTAACACTAGCTTTAGCACTCTGCTACATGCAGTTTCAGTAATGATTATTTCAATCCTATTTGGTTCTTACCCGTTTTTGGCTGCATTGGACAATGAGGAAAGTCTCTATACTATGCTCCTTGAGGTAAGCATTGCGTTCCCCTCCAAAGCCCGGCTCCACTTCATAATCGCCATTCAGGTAGTTTAGCGTAGCTTTTGTTATGTGGATTCGTCTTGATTGTAGACAAAAGACAATCAAATTGTAATATCCGCTTATTAGTAAAAAGAATCAAGTAGTAAACATTTTAGAATGGATAAGATTGCACTGCATTCCTACTCTGCAACTACATTTTTTCCATGATATATTTTTTTTCCCACTGTACAGGGCAAAACTCCTAATATGGGCAATTTAAAAGAAAACATTAAAGTTACATTACCTATTTATGTTGGTAAATTCTTCTTTATGGAGAATTTCACCAGCTCAACTTTTTGTATTTTCACCAATACATGTCAGTGTAAATTATATATAGTAAATCAATGGTTGAATGCCATTCGTAACATTTTCTGCTATCCTCTCAAGAAAGTCGTAAACTCGCCTTCTCTACGAGGTCTCTTCCAGAGGTCCTGGACTTAAGTTTGAATAATTCTTAGATAATACAATTTTTACATAGTTGTAATCCAATACATTCAGCAGCTGCCAGGTTATAGAAATTTTGCCTAAACCATCCATCAGCTTTACTATATGGATGATATATCTATGAAACCTTGAAGCTGCATCTTTTTGGTTCAATTCTAGTAGTATTTCTGGGAGCGGTCTGCCTATAGTTCCCTTCAGATTTTGACAGAAAAGGTGAACCCATTTCTTTTCTTTTTGAAAAGTCTTTAAAGACAAAACTTAACTGAATTTTTTTTTTATTGAAAATTTTTAAAATTTTACAAAAAAGTTCCCTTCCCCAAACCCTCCCAACCCGCCCCAACCCTCCCCCAACCTTCCCAGAGCTGAATACAGGCTTAGTTAAAATTTAAAAGAAAAAATTTTAAACACAAATAAACCATATATAAATTTGGTTACAATAATTAAACAAATCATAAAATATTTTAACACCAGTATTTAAAAAACAGAAAGAGAAAGAGAAAAGAAACAAGAAAAAGAAGAAAAAAAAGAAAAAATATCTAAACAATATCTTAAACTTTAAATATAAATTATTCAAAAGCTAAATAATATTTTTTTATATCATACTTATATTGTATAAAATTTATCCATCTTTTCCATACCAAAAGGTACTTCTCTTGCGATTGATAGATAGCTTCTTAGTATTCTTGTAAGTCTTTTGAGTTTTGAGCCAATTTTGTCTCTCTTTGGTAAGATGGATATTTTAATGTGAAAACATAGTACAAACCTTATGTTCCATGTCGTATTGGTCCAATCAAAAGAACTGCCCAAATTGTTAGTTTATAAAGGGCAACTCTGAGAAACTGTTTCAGTCTCCTTAATTTAGTAAGCAGAAGATTTAGAAATGAGAACAACATGTGAAAGTATTATTGTGGCTCTAGCAATTCTTCTGAGCGGACTTATACTATTTGTATACAGCCAAATGCTCCTCTCTGATTCATGGGCAGATGGAAATATTTGCACTGATCTGCATTCTGACCAAGAGCTCTTACCCTGCTTTGCCACCAGCTTCCATGTGATTGGCTAACGTGACATCATTTGACCACACATCAAACTGCCATTTCCTGAGGCCCAAGACTCCGCAGTGAACTCTCCCACTGTGGATTCCAACTCGCATATTCACATTGACGCCCGTCACTTCTCGTACTAATCTGAGGAAAGATGCAGAGATAAATAAGCCCACTCCTACACAAACAAACTAAAGGAATGTAAGCATTTATAATAAGCAATTTTGCCTAAATATGCTTAAAGACTGCAATTCAAAATCAGACAGAAAAAAATAGGACGCAAGGTAGCTAGACAAGTGGGGTGGAGGTGTTCTCAGATGATGAAGTCAGTTTGCTTTCAGTTGGAAGAGCCCATATTTCACAGAAGTGGCAAAGACAAAGCAAAAAGCATACACACTAACCTCTGGTTTCCATTTCAAACCTAGACATAACTTGCTTATTCTAATGAACTTTAATAGCCATGTTGCAAAGACAGAAGGAAAGTGATTATAGAAAGAACCCTATTTGTTCTCACAATCCCATCATCAAACTTCCCACAGACGAAACACAATACATATGTGAAACAACTGCTTCAGAGTGATATATCTGGAGTTCTGTTATAGTCAACCAGCAGTTATTTCTACTTTAGTTGTTCCAACAGGGTCCAGTTTTAAAAAGTTTATAAGGTTGCTCCCAAAAGTAGCCTTTGTGGAATTTTGATTTTGAGAACAAACGTTTATTAGGAGGAACATAACAATTTGAAAGCAGATTATATCTCAGGATTAGAGAGAAATCTGTTAAGATTTGCCCTTGGAAGACCTTAAATGATCAGTTGAAAATGTTGCTATCGCTGCGTATTGTATTGGCCAGGATTAGTATTGTGATACAGTTGAGGGTGTAGCAGTCCTTTTTAAAGAACAAAAACAGATCTCATAGGGAAGATTCTTTATCAAATCAAGTATACAACTTTGTGACCATAAATAAAGTTGGAAGAGGCCTTGGAGGTCATCTAGTCCAACCCCCTGCTCAGGTAGGAAACCCTATACCATTTCAGACCAATGACTGTCCAGTTTCTTCTTAAAAACTTCCAGCGTTAGAGCATTCACTGCTTTTGGAGGCAGGTTGTTCCACTGGTTAATTGTTCTAACTATCAGGAAGTTTGATAGAGAAGATATGGAGACTACTGTAATGTTAAATCACAAATGGAAAACTTCTAGCCCTCAGGAAGCATATGATGCTCTCTCTCTCTCTCTTTTTTTTTTTACTCCTAGAAGACCCCCAAACTGTGCAACCAAAATGTGAATGATTTTTGGCTACAGATTTTCCCATAGAAAAATATGTGCTTTAAATCTCTAGTAGTCTATATGCATAAAATCAAGAGGAATCTGGCAGCACTTAAGTTTCCAACTAACACATTTTATTAAGGTGAGCTATTTTATGATTTATGATGAATGCATTTTATGTTTTATGGTCATGATTTATCACTATTACTTGTATGTACACTGAGAGCTTATGCACCAGAGACAAATTCCTTGTGTGTCCAACCACACTTGGCCAATAAAGAATTTTCTCTCTCTCAGTAAGCTCACTTTGTCAGATACACAGACACAGAGGCACACACATATTTTAAGACTATTTTTTTAAAAGGCACCTCCCACTGGAAAAAAAACTTGAAAAAAATCCTTAACTTCAAAAAGATTCTGTGATCATGCCTTAAACATTTCTTACATAAGGATTTGGTGCAATATAGTGGCTAATATAGCGAACTCAGAACTTCATACAAATTCAATAAAGATCAGTTCTCTTGGTGACCATGACTATTTGAAACATAATGGGGACATTAGAGGATAACACCAGCTTCCTCAGATTCTAACAATCCATCAGTTATCTCTGCAAATGCATTACAAAAATGCACAAGTCCGTGCAACGGTAGAATTAAAGGAACTGATGGGACCCCTCTTTGTCCTTCTAAGTCAGTGTTTCTCAACCTTGACAATTTTAAGGCATGTGGACTTCAACTCCCAGAATTCCACAGCCAGCAATGCTGGCTGTGGAATTCTGGGAGTTGAAATCCACATGCCTTAAAATTGTCAAGGTTGAGAAACACTGTTCTAAGTTCATAGAGAAGATGAAAAGACAAACATATAAAACAAGAATTTACAGTAGATCCCTCAAACACAGCTTAATCCTTCCCTTTCACAACTGCACAATTTGAAAGATAGAAACACACTCTAGTGACTGCTGGCTTAATTGTTAGCTTCATGCCTTGGACAGAGGATCATTATTCATTACTGCATCATTAACAGAACAGTGGAATTATATAATTTTGCAGATGATTTCTTAATGACCTAGTGGTTGCCAGCCAATCACTGCTATACACTGTCTTCTGCTATGCTACTCGCAGCCCCCAAGACGTGGATGTAAAAAGGAAATCTATGGATCCTTGCTTATTTGCTATATTTGCATGAGCATAGAATATTTTTATTTTTGTTATTATTAATTTATTACAGACCTTTTGCATGAATGAAAATAAATGTACTAGAAATAAGTAGAAAAATCAGGGAAAGTAATTATTGATCAATTGTTTGAAACATATGCAACTAAGTAAAATAATACCCTTAAGAAGGAATTCTTTGGAAACAATTTACAGCAATTATAGCAAATTAATCCCATTTAACTTCTTGAACGTTATTAAAAGTTTGCTTTGTAGATGCAGCTAATGAGCAGATTTTTTTTAATGCAACAAATCTTCAAGAAATATCAAATATGTTGCCAGGTTATTTAAATACTACAGGAAATCTGGAAGGGTCTTGGGTCCCATAGAAAACAATAGAGTGATATCAAAATTATATGGAGAAAGTTATACCTTTGGAAATATTTCAAACATTTTATGAAACTAAAGATATACCTGGTATTGTACATACTATTATGTTTACGTCACTGTAATTTTGAAAGGTGGCAAAGATCTGCTGTACATTTAGAGTCTCTGTCAAATGTTTGACACTCAGATTTGTAGAATTATATTGGCAAGAAGATTACAGAAGGTATTCCCTCTAACATTTCATCCTCTAACATTTCATCCTAAGTCAGTCTCATGAAAAAGCATTGTGCCTCAGTCAATACAAGACTTGAGGTTTCTGTAATAGCTTTGCATGCTAATAAACAAGAACCAGTTGGGTTGGCCTCACTCTATGCAGAAGAGTTTTGATTTGATTCAAATCTAATTTTTGGTTCAAATTTAGATGTGAATTACAATGTATTATTATAATTCATCTGTTTATGTAATTACTAATGGGTACATCTGGCTAGTAATTAAAATATATCAAATATGTCCTTTATTTCCTCTAATTTTAATTTGAAGCTGGAACTCTTGGCATGCCTAATAAAACAAACTGGTGAAATCCAGGGAGTCTAAATTTAAATTTAAGATATTATATGCAGATGATATTTTTTTCAATGATGATTAAGAAAACTTTTACTTCAATCTGAAATTATTATTCTGGGTAAATAGTAATTTGGAATAAATGAAATATTATCCCAGTCAGCAAGACGTTTCTGAGCAAATAGATGTTTATTTTCCAGGATCTATTATATATATGGAAATTATTGTCCCCTGGAAAATATTCTGTTTAAGCCATAAGAATATTTCAATAGTATTACTCAGATGAATGACGATATTAAAAGATGGATAAATATCTAATGTTTGTGGGAAAGTATTAATATTGTAAAATTAACTTTATACCAAAATTGATATATTATGAGAGACATGCCTCCTTTCCACTTAAATATTTTAAATATATTAATAAATTAATGAGCATTTCTTTATGGGAGTAAAAATTATGTTCAAGTACAGCTCTCTTATGATTAGGGTTTTAATTTTCTAGTTTTAAATAATGCCAAGAAGCATACTTGTTAACCACAATCAAGTACTGGAATAAAAATGATATTAACTATTTATAACTATAGGCTCAGCTTCAGTGTTACTAATGAGCACCCATATGATCCTGGAAAAGTTCTTGGTATTAATCATAGCGGAAACCTGGTTACTTTTCAGCAGTCAATTTCATTTGATTGGATAAAAAAAATAAATTTGATCTTTTTTTCTTGTGAGAATGTAATATTCTAACATCTCATCCAAAGTTCTGTTCCCTTGATGTGTATGTGATGTCATGATATATATAGAAAAGAGGCAGGGCTTGTGTCACAACGCTGCCTCCATCCCCCAGAGCCCAATTATGTCCCCTGTGGATTGCTGCTTGTTTGTTTGTTTGTTTGTTTTTTAAAAAAAAAACAGCATGAATTGATAAAGTAAATAAGATGCCTTCTATATAGTTAGAAATTGTAATAAAGGCCTCTGATCAGGTCTGGCCTTAAGACAGTATTTTGACCTGCCACACAATCCAAAGGAGTTTAGTGAGGTTGTTAGTAGAGTATGTGGCATTTGCAAAGACTTGCACTATGTTTACAACAAGAGTTGGAAATAGGTGTGGAGGAATACTCCATTCTCTGTTTACAAATCGTCCCTTGTCAGCTTTCAAAAACCTGGTTCCTGCTTTATGTGGGATGAAAATTATTTAACAATCTTTACCTCACTTCTAAAACTGGAGTGAGAGACTTTCTGTTCTCACTACCTCCTCGTCTTCCCTGATGAAGAGAGAATGCTTCTCAGACAAATGAAAGTAGTAAAGATTAAAAAGCTGAGTTGGCAGGCATTATAATTGCTGGACCATTTAGGAAGCTCTTCTGATAAATTTGCATAGCTTTTTTGCCTTGCAAACTTTCAGCAATTAGTTGATAAAAGTGTAAGAATTTAGAAAATTCTTAAATTCTTTACCCTGCCTTCACAGAAATCTATAAGGTACCCTGAAATAATAATAGGTGCAACTTAGAAAAAGCAGGGTGCCTCTACTTTCTATTAAAATTAATGGAAATAAGCAATCAATCAAATGCTTGCATTACATTAATGTTAAGGTACCTTTTGGTATCCAAGAGCTTAATAGGTCAAAACAACTCTAGTGTCTTCCCCAGGTGATGGCATTGCAACTTCCAGACTTTTTATATGTGTCTGTGCGTCGCACAAACATACACACATATGCTTTTTGAGATTCAGCATAACCTGGGATCAATCTAGCCTTGAGGGAATTAAACTGGGGTAGGAGTAGCCTCTTATTGTAGAAGTGTTTACATGGAAGCCAGCCTATCTGAAGCTTCTCTAACACTGTGTTCATACAGAGGCCAGGAAATGTTGAATTAGCATGGTTTGTGCTAAGTGAAGCAAGTTATCAGCTTAGCAAAACCCTCAAAGCTCAAGCTGGTTCAATTTTAGCTATGTATCAGAGTACTGATAGCTCTTGACTTACAACCATTTGTTTAGTGACTGAAGTTACAATGGCACTGCAAACTTAGGCATGGTTTTCACACTTACGACCATTGAAGCATCCACATAGTCATATGGTCAAAATTTGGGTGCTTGGCAACTGGCATATATTTATGATGTTTGCACTGTCCCAGAGTCATTGACTATAGCAGTAGCACTTCTAGCACTTAGAATTATATACTGCTTCACAGTGCTTTTACAGCCCTCTCTAAGCGGTTTACAGAGTCAGCGTATTGCCCCCAACAATCTTGCTCCTCAGTTTACCAAACTCGGAAGGATGGAAGGCTGAGTCAACCTTGAGCCAGTGAGAATCGAACTGCCGAACTACTGGCAGCCCACAGTCAGCAGAACTAGCCTGCAATACTGCATTCTAACCACTGTGCCACCACAGCTCTTTAAACCAGGGGTCCCCAACCTCTGGTCTGTGGACCAGTACCGGGCCACAGCATGCCAGCAACTGGGCTGCACAAACAAGCAAAACCCCATCTGAGAGATGTAGGCAGCACACAAAACCATGCGCCCTCCAGTCCACGGAAAAACCTCTTTCCACGGAACTGGTCCCTGGTGCCCAAAAGGTTGGGGACCTCTGCTTTAAATGATTACCATGTTTAACCTTCTCAGCTGGCTTCTGACAAGCAAAGTCAATGGGGCAATCGCGATTGCATGATTCATTTAAAAATTGCAGTGATTCGCTTAACAACTGTGGCAAAATAGGCCATAAAATCCAACTGACATTTTGGGCTTAATTGTGTCATACGTTTTCCTGTACAGGGGAAATGTGGACATTGATGTGGAATGTTTTAATCTTAGTGTCATCCAGATTCAGACTGGCCTCTGACTAATACCACTTCAAGATGGAAGCTTCTATTGACAAAGTTGTCATCAATGTAACATTTTGAAGAAAGGGAAATGAGGCAAGTTCATGATTATTACTGATATTAGGATTTATTTTTTACATTTATATCTTGCCTTTCTTCTAAGGAACCCATAAGCAGTCACTCCTTATTTTTTTTTTTCATTATAATAACCTTTGGAGGTAGGCCAGATTGAGCTCCAAATTATCCACTAAGCGCCATGTTTAAAACGAAGTTTCAACAGTGTCAATCCGTCCCTTTAATTGCTACATCACATCACTATGCAACATTATGAAAAATGGTGCCAACATACATTTGCATTATTACTGAATTAGCATTCCAGTTGAGGATGTCATTAAAGATCAGTCTATACCTAACCTCTCCAATCTGATGCCTTATCATGTGGTGGGCTACAACACCTAGAATTACTATCGGGCATTGGCACTACTGACTGGGAATTTCAGAAACTATAGTTTTAAAGCATTTGGCATATTCATTTGATATATGGTCATTACTCCACCGTGGGAAGTGTATACTTACGAAATGGCTTCTATCATATCCATTCCCATTTCAACACAACAGTGTGCATGGTCTGCTCTCGCCTCAGGTAATCCAGATACACAGTAATAGCAATCACCTAAGATTTTTATACGTAAACAGTGATTCTCCTGCAAAACAGAAGGGGAGAAATGCACTTTTATTTCATGATCCAGGATGTTGACAGGCTGCCTGTGAAGACAATGGACAATTTGCAATAGACCAAAATATGATACCACCATAATTGAGGAAGCAAAGAATGAACCCTACTTACAGCAGCAAGCTTATCAAATCTGGCAAAGAGTTCATTCAGTGTCATGACCAACTCCTGAGCAGTACACTGGGAAGCGAGACTGGTAAAACCCTCAATGTCTGCAAAGAGGATGCTGTGGGAGAGAGAGCACGAAAAAGAAGAGGAGAAACAGACATGGTTCAATAAAAGATACTCTTCAATTCAATTCATACTCTTCAGTTCTCCTTTATCTCTTTTATCTTTAAAAGTGCAGATAGTTCAGGAGGGATGTTTATACTGAATATGAGCAACCTAGTCAATGGATGCTTTATATCTGCTCTGTATGTGAAAAAGTCTCATGATAGGCAACAATCAGCAGGTACTTGATCGATAGATAATGGAAGGTAGTTTGTTTGCTCTTTGTTGTTGAATAATTTCTAACCTAAAACAGAGCAGGGGTGGTCAGGTTTTTCTAGATGAGGACCCTACTTAGTTTTGGAGTGCATTTCAGTGCATTCTCCAAAAATAGTTTGTTAGGCAAAAGCACATAATTAAATTGATTTCTTTTCTGTTCTCATTTGATATATATAGGCATTCTTAATTGATTTTGCCTTCTGTCAAATTAAATTAGTTAACAATTCTGGAGGTTTCTCAAAACTGCACCCAGGGTTTTCATGTGTGATTTGAATCTCTGACTATATAGATACATAATATACTGTATATAGTATATAGCTTCAAGATAAAATTTTACATATTCTAAGAAATTACAGTTCTCATACTTTAAGACATATCCAAATTCTTCAACTCATATGAAATATACTGTATACCCTCATATATAATATAATGGTATACCCGTATACCATTCATGGATAAGCAAAGTAAAGGTAAAGGAGTCCTAAGGATTTTACTCTGCTAGTTGTTGCCGATTCTATGGGACAGTGCTCATCTCTCTTTCAAGGCCATTGAGCCAGCACCATCTGAAGACATTTCTGTAGTCGTGTGGCCAGCATAACATCATGGGGCACTGTTACCTTCTCACCCAAGTGGTACCTATTTATACACTCGCATTTGCATGCTTTCAAACTGCTAGGTTGGCAGGAGCTGGAGAGAGGATGGGAGCTCACCCCACCACGTGGCGCTCAGGCTTCAAACTTGGGTTTCCAGCTTTTCAACTAACAAGCTCAGCGCCCTAACCGCTGAGCTACCACACCGGCCTTCAGGGATAAGCTGTCCCTCAAAATTTTAACCAAAATACCATGAACAATACACCAATGGATAAGCTGAATGCCAATTTTCATGGTATTTTGGTTAAAAGTGCATATTTTCCTCATAACACCAACTCTGGATATAGGTTGGTCTGAGATCGAATGACTGGCCCAAAGGGACCACTAGAACTCATAGACTTCTGCTTTCTAGGACAGCACTGAACCACTACGCCAAATTGGTTCTGTCTCACATGCCAGAGAAATCATCATTATCATCATCACTACCATAATCTAGCCATAAATTTTATATCAGGATTAGGAGAAAAAAGTCATGAGGTATAAAAAAAAACTCCAAGAAACAAAAACCAAAAACCAACTGATCTTGAAAGATTTCAAAAGCTATCATAGGCACTTCCCAAAAATAGGAATTTGTCTACCTACAAAACAGTCAACATGGTGAAAGAGTCAGGCACAAAACATTTATTTATTATTAGCCAGATCAATTGATAACTATCACTTCATCTTCTTATTCGCTTCTATCCCAACTCATCTTCAACATTTTTTTTGAAAAGGAAATATAATTTTGATCTTCAATGACACACTGTTTTTATTAACAATTATGTGATCCAAAAACATTCTCCTGAAATAAGAATGATACCTGAAGCTAACCCTTTTGTTTATTATATACATCAGTTTCACACTTTATATTTGTCTATGTTTTAAAAATCTTTTTTTTAAAAAACTACATAATGCACAGAAGATATGCACAGAAGTACCAAGATCGATATTTGCAGACACATAGAGAATTCCAGCACTACATAAACATAAATTTGGGCGGGGTGGGTGGGTAACAATTCATTTTTTACACATTAACAAAATACAAAATTACTGTACATAGAATACAAGTACAAATAGATGACACCCCCATCCAGCAGAAAGTCAAGGTAGATGGCTACTACAGCAACATAACGTATTTGATATTTAATTTAATAACATTAAGTCAAATATTATGTGCAGCTATGATAATCTGGATAATACTGAGGGTCAGAACATAAAACTCACCCACTTTCCATTTTGACTCACCTAACTGCCTACCACTGGATGCTTCAGTTCCCCTTTCCACATATCACTTGAGTCTGCAGTGTGAAGTAACACTTAAACTTCAATTCAAGGTTAATGGATAAAATAATTCCACTCATTCTTTTCAAAATAGTGATTATTTCTGGTGAAGTAATTCTCAGAAGGCTATGGATAGAGTTTATCCACAGAGCAACAGTAATGTAGTTTCTCCTATCCTTGAGATGGGAAGAAAATATACTGATATGAAAAACACTGTCCCAAAGCCTATTTTTATTGCATTGCAGCAACAAGATTGATCATCTTTTGCCCTTAAAGAACGCAATCTGGGGCTACCATCAGAACAGAGATGGGTAAAGACCTTTATCTTCTTATACAGCATCACATATAGACAGGGAAATCAACCATTGACACTAGTCTTAATATACAGTAGGGCAGCTGAACTGGGCTGAGAGCGAGTGACTGGCCCAACATCACCCAGCTGGCTTTTATGGCTAAGATGGTTCTTGAACCTACAGTCTCCTGGTTTCTAGTCTGGTGCTTTAACCACTAGACCAAACTGGTTATACTGGTATGTTCATAATTGTTGGGAGAAATGAGAAGATATTACTACCCGATGCCTCGCTTGTGGGCTTCCCAGGTATTTGATTGGCTTTAGTCTGATCTATCCAGGTTTGACATTCTCACATGGGTAATGGTTGTTGTCATTTCTCAATTCCTATGTGGCTGATCTTGTTTCTTGCCAGAACAACAGGCTGGAAGAAAACTGACCCCTGGCTTCCCACTCTATCCTGTCAATTCTGAGAAATAAGACAATAGCTCTTAAATTTCATCATCTAAAAGTCTAACTCTATCAAATCCTATTGAAACCAATAGGATTTGCCAAACACCGCCTGTCCCATTCAAGTAAAACATAACCGAAATACTCTGCAAAGGAGCAAAGGAACAACATCACTTCAAGGAAAGAAAGTTCCACAGAGCAAATAATTCTGACTAAATAACTGGCCTAGTTTCCCAAATAATACCCTGAACAAAAATAGAAACGAATTGACATACTAAAGCTAAGAGCTTTATTTAAAGTGCCAGGGAATACTGCCGATTCAGCCTTAGTCAACCAGCTGAGTATTGTGGAAGCACCTTACAAATTTATTATTCCTAGTCCTGACAGGAATAGTGTCAGCAGTTTCTGCTCTCCTTTTTTAAAAGTCCTGCAGCAGAAAATTAAAAAAAAAGACTTTTAAACAAAGCAGAGACTTCCAGATTGGGTGGCCTGAATCCTTGGAAGAGCTGTGGATGCAAAATAGGTCAAACAAAAATAAGAATAGGACCTTAGCTGCTCAATGTTAAAAGAACCTTGGGAGGGGGGGGGGAGAAGGAAGATGACAAAAGTAGGCAGCATCTTCCCACATCTTTATTTTCCATTTTTTTTCAACAAGTGGTTAACAGAATTCAGTTTTGACTTCGCGCTAGGGTTTCATACTGTATTACACAAATACTTCGTATTTCTGATAGTTTGTATCGGGAAGAAAGAGAATGAGGAATACAGAGGCTCAAAGTTCAGCTAATAATCCAAGACCCTTCATCTCCAGGCCAAGCCTGAAAAGTACCCCCAGTCACTTACTCTGGAATCTCTCAAGGACAGGAGGGTGTCTTAATTGTTGCAACTGATATTGTCAAACTATTCTTGCCAGCCAGAGTAGTTTCAACAAGAAACTACCCGAGGTCACCTAGGAGGATCCTAGCAGAACCTTTTCTCTTACTTGATTCAAAGAAGTTCTTACTGGGTTCAACCTCCCTTTCAAGTAATGGTGGACCAAGTGCAGCCTATACTCTTCAAAACAACTGCAAAAAATGCTCCTGCTTTAATGCTATTTTAAGGATGCCCCTAAACCTGCCAACTCCAAAGCCCCTCTTTTCTCTGATGGATAATATGTTAAAAAGACTGTAAGGGAATGCATTATGAACTTGTTCTCTTCCATAGCCATTCTTGTAAGATGGTGCAGGGTACGGTATGAGGCAACCCACAGAGGGCAAAATATAATCTAATTTAGTTGTAGAATTATAATGATGTCTGATATTCATAATAGGTTTTCTGAGTGGCAGAAGGGCTGATAAACACATTAAATTATCATATAAGGAAGACACGAAAAGTTTACAAGGGTAAGAAATATTTATTCTGGTCTCTAGGATTGCAGAAGAAATAAGATCAGAATGTAAGGTTTGTCTTGAGACCTTCTGAATCTGAGCCTAAGGGAGTTTCATGGAACACAGATATTCTTTCCACTCAAAATGTCACACTGAGTTAGGATTTAATTTTGTTGGTTCCTTTGTGCGAGTATCTGCTTAGAAACTATTTTGAAATGTAAGCGTTTGAAAGAAATCTGCTCACATTGGGTTTGATTCATTTTGATCTTTCTGTTATTCAACAGGAGCATTTGACATTTAAAAGCCTGCAAAATTCACCAAATTGTACTGTCCTTCTTCAACTTAAACCAACACCATCATCATTCTGGAGCCAGGAGCCCCTTCTGAATCTTAATGATCTCAAATCTAACAAATTCTCTCCCCCCTCACCACACACCCTACAATTCTTTGCTATCATTCATAGTTAATTTACAGGTAGAAGTGAAAGAGGAGGTTTCTTATGGCTATTTCAGTGAAGGCCATAGCTCCTTTGTTTTTGCAGCACTTAAAAAATAAAGCAACTCTGATCTGCCAGCATAATACCAATCCTCTTGTTAACTGCAGTGTTTTTCCTGTTCATAGCTTTTCACATCCAATTCTTCAGTTCAGTCATCCCAATAATTTTTTTGTCTTGCTACTTACCCTCCCCCACCTCAGTCTTTTTTCATTATTATTTTTAGGTGTATAA